GAGAGTGATTGCTTTCAGGCGATGAGGAGTTAATGCTTTGCCTTTTCATAAACTCCTGATTTGAGGCATGACTTCGCGAAGTACTACTCAAACCCGCAGCCATTGCTCGCTTACGACTCCCGCCGTTGAACATTGCCTTCACATCTGAACAGCAAATCAGCAATTTTTATATTCAATTAATATTTGGCTTTACTATCGTTTGGTAATATAATTGAAAGCAATCACACATACCCTCCCACGCAAATGATACCTCATCCGGAGGTTCAGGATTTCCTATCAATTTTATATGTCTTCTCCAACTAATCCGTTCATTAATAACATAATTAGAGCCCATTTGACAAATTAAATCATAATAACAATTGAAATACCTGTTAAAGTTTGCGGCGTCCGGTTGTATGTACTTAGAGTCAGATAAACGGTGCGAATGAAAGATAAATTTGTTGGGCGAGAAAAATAGTCCACAATAAACACATTTTATACATTTCGCACTGTTTTGCACGTCATTGTAATGTAATTAAATTAAATATAAGTATTTGATTATAAGTAGTAATTAAAATAACGTAAATGTCGAGCACTAACCGAGAGCTGTTGTATCTGGATGGGGTAAACTCTCCCCTACAACCTAAACATTAAAAACAAGAATATGTTTAAACCATTGTAATATCTTTACAAGCATCTCTGACATTTTATAACACATATTGGTTTATTTAATTGACCATTCACTTTTTAAAAACACGGCACGCAACATCAATTTGGGCTATATTTTACCAATCTTAATAACTAATTTGCTAAAAATATTATAATAATCTTGGTAAAATAAAAAGGCTAGATAGTAATTATTATAGTTTGTTTAAGATTCATTTTCTAAATTTATCAACATCATAAACATCAATGCTAAAACTATAAGCACTATATTGTTTGACATGGTTTAAGGGTTTTGTATATTACTGTATTTGTCGATAAAATATAATAGAATGTTATTTGTATAAAATACTGATGTTTAATACAGGCATTTATAATGTATTGACTTTTTATTTATAGAAATATCTATTAGTTATATAACAATCAGTTACTGTATGTACGGTTTGAATAATATAATAGAATGTTATTTGTATAAAATACTGATGTTTAATACAGGCATTTATAATGTATTGACTTTTTATTTATAGAAATATCTATTAGTTATATAACAATCAGTTACTGTATGTACGGTTTGAATGTTATGTAATTTTATTAAAAGATAATTTGGGACTAATATGATCAATGTTCTATTATATAAGTAAACTTGATTATTTAATTAATGATTCTTCTCATGTTTCATGGATAATATTTGGCTAGTTTTGTGTTTACATTGAGTTAATTATATAAATACAGTACATGTCTATAAAAATATATCAAAAAAGGTTTGCACTAAATTTAACAATAAATATTATCAAATCTATGGGCTATTTATATCGATAATATTTAAAAATGCGTTTATAAGATAATAAAGATATTGAGCAAATGGAAACACAAACGTAAGATAAGTATAATATGTTTCCAAATCATAGTGAATATGAATGTATGAGAAGGTGTAGTGAAAGTGTAGTGAAGGCTTACCCCACGCGCACTGATGGTAGACCTCGAAAGAGAAAGTGTCGGGCAGTTTGGGCGGTGCGGTCTCTGCGAGAAATGATTTGCATAGTCTCTCGGCTTCTCTATTAGTTATATAACAATCAGTTACTGTATGTACGGTTTGAATGTTATGTAATTTTATTAAAAGATAATTTGGGACTAATATGATCAATGTTCTATTATATAAGTAAACTTGATTATTTAATTAATGACTCTTCTCATGTTTCACGGATAATATTTGGCTAGTTTTGTGTTTACATTGAGTTAATTATATAAATACAGTACATGTTTATAAAAATATATCAAAAACGGTTTGCACTAAATTTAACAATAAATATTATCAAATCTATGGGTTATTTCTATCGATAATATTTAAAAATGCGTTTATAAGATAATAAAGATATTAAGCAAATGGAAACACAAACGTAAGATAAGTTTGGTTCAAATAATATTTAGTAACTCATATTGAATATGAATGTATGAGAAAGTGTAGTGAAAGTGTAGTGAAGGCTTACCCCACGCGCACTGATGGTAGACCTCGAAAGAGAAAGTGTCGGGCAGTTTGGGCGGTGCGGTCTCTGCGAGAAATGATTTGCATAGTCTCTCGGCTTCTCGTTTGGTAATCATTCCGCATCTTCGAGAGGACACAGGCATAGCTCCGGCCCTTCGCAACAGCTCTAACTGAACGGGAGTGCACTGAACGCACGTTATTCCCAACGCCACTCGTCTATATGTGTTGTAACAGATATATAGCCGTTTGGTTTCAATTAATTCAAGTAATTAATCGATCGCAAGGAAAAAACTTTATTTCATGTCACTCTATATCCCTGATTGCAAAACATATTGTGAATCTTTTTTTAATACTTTATAGCATTACTTAATATCTTATCGATTATATAATTACAAAAGAGCCAAACATCAAGCTTATTTGCTTTAATTATTTTCTCTCGTTAAATAGATGTCTGTTTTTGGATTTAATTACTCCGAATGCTTTGTTGCAAAAAAGTGAAAGTGATATTTGAAACAACAATAAAACAAATGCCTAATTATATTTTATATTTATCTCGTTGTGTGAAAATTAATCAAAAATAGAGTATTAAATGAAATGATAGTAAAATGTTGTGAATTTCATTATATTTAAAAACAAATCACTTATCGATTGTAATTACATATTTGACTATAAGTATAGATTACATTAAAATAAGTGTTTTTATTAATTATCAGAATTTATTCTAAGGTTTAAGGAATCAACTTTTAATTTAGATTTAGGTTACGTTAGAAAGCTTTAGATTAAAAATTTAATTAAAACAAAAGATTTAGTTTTATATATAGGTTTTCTAAATTGTGTTATTTACAAGAGACAAAATATCTAACTTTAATATAATTGATTTTATTTTAATTAAAATAAAACAGTTATAATGTTAAATAATTAAGATTAAAGTTAATTCCTTAGTTTTGATAACTTTGCAGAATTGCAGAAAATTAAATATTGAATGAAATTTATTGTTTAATTATATAAAGTTGTATTGAATACTGTGTATGTATTATATGAAACGAGAAAAACTAATTAATTGTTTTTAATTAGTGTTTCTAATTTATATCTGATTACAGACTCTGATAGCGTACAGCGAAAAGTAAAGTAACGACGACTATGTGATGGAGTGATTCAAAAACTGTTTCTAAATCAACACTATATTTATTGTGCACAACATTTAGAGCTGAGCTGTGAATGAAAAACAATTACTGCATATGTTTTACGCAAATAAGAAAGTCGTGCGAATCGTATTGAATTGATAAACAGTTATTGATATAAATAATGTTTACCTGTTGTGGATCTCATTATAGCTAAAGCTCTTCAATAGTGTGTTTGATATCTGCGCCAAACAAAGTCTTTCTTGAGAGTCCATAACTAAAGCAATGATAGGGATTCCGTAGAGCATAACACTCCGCACTTCATTATTCCTATACGAGTTGCCACTTATGCCACTTGAAGTCGTATTGTTTCCCGTTTCTCGTATGGCTTGCTGTTGACTATTGGCCGGACTTAACTGTTTTTAATATTCAAATGCATTTTATAGCTCTATATTAAATACGCTTTTCTATTATTTTCAAAGTGTATGTATTAAATGAACGGTCGGTTTGAACCGAAAGGTATTAAACACATTTCATTACTTATAGCGCACATTCACTATTACAACATTAGGCACCACTAAAATAATAGTAAGCTTTGGCCACAAAAAACAGGTAACTTTTTGTCGTAAAGCTTTTGAGTATTAAGTTTAAACATTAAGCGCTGTATAGTGTGATCTATTTTAAGTGATCTTCTCGTACACATTGAATGCATGTACCAATATATGCACCAAACTATGCACCATTGCCCAAACCAATACTTAGAACACCCATGGGTAAAAATGTGCTCGATTATGGCAGTTTTGCGAGCACTTAATGATAGGTTTGAGTGCTGCACATGCATTACGAGTTGCATCACTTTCACATCTATCTATTATACACTCACTCATTCATACTCTCCATTCTCTCTCTCTCTCTCTCTCTCTCTCTCTCTTTTCAAACCGTACATACAGTAACTGATTGTTATATAACTAATAGATATTTCTATAAATAAAAAGTCAATACATTATAAATGCCTGTATTAAACATCAGTATTTTATACAAATAACATTCTATTATATTCTATCGACAAATACAGTAATATACAAAACCCTTAAACCATGTCAAACAATATAGTGCTTATAGTTTTAGCATGAAATTTATAAATTTAGAAAATGAATCTTAAACAAACTATAATAATTACTATCTAGCCTTTTTATTTTACCAAAATTATTATAATATTTTTAGCAACTTAGCATTATTAAGATTGGTAAAATATAGCACAAATTGATTATGCGTGCCGTGTTTTTAGAAAGTGAATGGTCAATTAAATAAACCAATATTACGTGTTCTAAAATGTCAGAGATGCTTATAAAAATATTACAATGATGGCTTAAACATACATGTATTCTTGTTTTTAATGTTTAGGTTGTAGGGGAGAGTTTACCCCATCCAGATACAACAGCTCTCGGTTAGTGTTCGACATTTACGTTATTTTAATTACTAGTTCTAATCAAATACTTATATTTAATTTAATTACATTACAATGACGTGCAAAACAGTGCGAAATGTATAAAATGTGTTTATTGTGGACTATTTTTCTCGCCCAACAAATTTATCTTTCATTCGCACCGTTTATCCGACTCTAAGTACATACAACCGGACGCCGCAAACTTTAACAGGTATTTCAATTGTTATGATGATTTAATTTGTCAAATGGGCTCTAATTATGTTATCAATGAACGGATTAGTTGGAGAAGACATATAAAATTGATAGGAAATCCTGAACCTCCGGATGAGGTGTCATTTGCGTGGGAGGGTATGTGTGATTGCTTTCAATTATATTAACAAACGATAGTAAAGCCAAATATTAATTGAATATAAAAATTGCTGATTTGCTGTTCAGATGTGAAGGCAATGTTTAACGGCGGGAGTCGTAAGCGAGCAATGGCTGCGGGTTTGAGTAGTACTTCGCGAAGTCATGCCTCAAATCAGGAGTTTATGAAAAGGCAAAGCATTAACTCCTCATCGCCTGAAAGCAATCACTCTCTGACACCAAACACAACAATGAGTGATAGTTTGTCTCCAAAGAGCACCTCCAGTGCGGCGCCGACTTATTTCCCATTAATCCCATTACCAAATAAATGCTATTCTATGCCTCCAAGCGCTCCCTTCACTCCCAACCCGACGATACCGTCGTCTCCTATGAAAACGCTTTCGTCTTCGAGTCACGCATCAGATTTCAGGCAAAGTTTCGCTGAGTTTATGTGGATTGGCTCAGGAAAGCCACCGGCGCTTCACATACCATACAGTTGTCTACTGTGGCCGCGACCGCCGACCTCTTCGCTAGAGTTCGGCACATCAGAGGCTAATAGGACTAAATTATTTGGTAACACAGACCCCAACTCTTTCATGTTTTCACAACAACAACAACAGCAGCAAAGAGAACAGCTCTGGGCTCACGAAAACTTTCACGAAACCAGAGACTCAAACAACAACACAAGTCCAACACATACTAACCACTCGTCGCACACCTCGGCATTCAAACCGGTGGCTAAGACTGTCGGCAGTAGTGTTTCGCCTGCTGTCCATCATTTGGAGTCTATCGCCAAAAGTCCCGACAATACGAGTCCATCTCCACAGCCGTCGCAGACTAACAGCGATCCCGAAGTGGATATAATTGGCGAAGACGTGGAAGAGTCGGCGCCGGCAGTAGTGGTCCGGAGAGAAGATATTGTATTGGATTTGGAAAAACAGAATCCAATTGTGAATCGAAAGAACAAGAATTATATGATGTCTGACAATGAAGTGAATGGAAGCGATAGAAAGCGAGCCAAATATGAGTCAACGCTAAACCGATCCGAAGAACTGAACTTAAATTTTTTGGGACATCTTTCAGAGGTATGAATGGCTATAATAGAGTCAAAGTTAGTCTAATTTATTTGATAGTTTGATGGCTGAACTGATTGAACACATTAATCAAAGAGAGAGTAAAAGCTCTAAATAAAAGCGAAATCGAAAAAGAGATGCAGAGATGTGTTCAGAGATTGTAAAGAGAGATGAATAGAGAGTAAAGAGAGTTAAAGCCTAGCATTTGAAACAAATGACACAATTGTGAACAAATGGATAAGTTTTTGTTTTCAAAAATCGAAAACAATGTCACGCATGGAATGACCCGTATTTCACTCGTCGACATCACATCTTTGCTACCATTGAGTCCGACCTTTGGGTTCACACATTGAGATGACACGAGTGAGGGATCATCTCTTGCATCCAATTTATTACAACTTATATACCATTAATTACAATGAAATGCATTTCAATTCGCAATCGGATTCCGCTCTCTATTGACTTTTTTGCTTAGATTTTGAAAAGTTATAAATAGAAGTGAAATAACGGTAAATATATGGTATATTTAGTGAAACAGTCAATACATGAGTGTATCAGCAATACTAGGGATGAGATAACGATTACATTGAATTGGGAGAGAGTAGTACTCACTCGCGAGTCAGACAATGTTCAGTAATGTTTAGAATACAGTAAAAGTAATACATTTAGAAGTCTCTAACAAAATAACACAACAAATAATACAATACACGAGTAAATTGTTATGTAGTATTGGAAACAGTAAAATACAAGACTAAAGCCTATTTACACTATCATTGAGTCGCTTATTTAAACACGACTTACAGACTCACTCTTGTCTCCGATAGTGTCATACAGTTGTCATTCACTACAGTTAGAGAAGCGATTCATGGATGCGATTCATGTTAACCAAAGTCAGATTATATGCGATTAATATTTATTTAAGGTTTGAATGACCGAATCTGTGATAACTTTTACATAAAACCTATTTTCTAAAGAAAAAGACTCAAACACTACCTAAAAGTATATCAAACATTGAATTTATTTGATGAGCAAAACAGTCATCAAAAAACGAAGCAAATTATGCCGTTTTCCAAATGGGAATTCAGACCTACTTTACACACATTTCCATTGCTCTTACAATCTGTTAGATTTAAATGAAAAAGCATTGCTATATTTGCTCTCTCTCTCTCTCTCTCTCTCTCTCTCTCTCTCTCTCTCCTTGCAATTCACGTTTCATTTGAATACTTTTAAAAAGATATTTAAAAATTTGCTGTTTTGTACAATCGATTACATATGATGTAAGCCTAACATACATGTATGATATGAAAATCAAAACATTATTTCCTTTGAATGCTATACAAATTCATCATTATTTGATTGAATAGCGTTTGGAAACGCGAATTATTTTCAAATTGATAATATAAACGCTTTTTAAAGTTCTTTGAAAATTAAATTATTTAAAAGATTATATATAACTGTATAACTGTTAGGGAATGTATTATTTGTTAACTTCCCCCTCAATACAAGCGATTAAAAGCAAAACCGTTTTCTTTTTGCTTCAATTCTTTTAAGTAGTTTTCTCTGAAAAAGTGAATTTCGAAAAAGACATAACTTATCCGTAAAATCCAACCGCTCTATAGATGTACTCAATTCTCCTCTACTATAGTCTACTGTACTCTCTATAGTCTTTAAATATCTAAAAAGTTTTTAATTTAAGATAAAATGTCTGTAATATAGGGTACAGTTGTTGATGAAAGGAGTGGAAAATCGTCGGCAATCGATATGTGCGCCAATACTGCACTCGATCTCAGAAATTTAACTTCCCTTTCAAGAGGTAAGGCTATCACAAGTATGATATGATTTGTAATTACTATTTGTTATATAAATTTTAATAATACTTCATATTAAGTAATTTAGCATTTATGCTAATGAATAAAATGGACAAAATTAATTTATTAAATATAAATGTTTCAAATATTATTTAAAATAATTTTATGACTATATTAAATTGTAAATAAATTTTATGGTATTTTGTTATTACAACTATTTATGGCAACTAATTCATTAAATTTGTTCAGTAATATAATATAATGGCTTTAATAAGAATTTTCTATTAATAATAATTATATTTAGCATAATATAAATGTCATAAATTGGCTTAAAATATAAATGATCTGATTATAAAAGTCACGAAAGTTGTATATAAATTATTTACAAAAATACTTACAATTAAATAATAATAGTTTAAATGACCATAAATACCAAATCAAACAGAATTTTCAAATAATTTATGCTTATAAAGAATGATGTTTGTAAAATAGTTATTAAACTATAATAAAGTATATTTGAAAGTAAAACAAATATAATTCTAATTCAGACGATTTGCACCAAATTTTGTTGAAACAATCGGAGGCTCGACTAAAGTCTGACAGAGAATATGATGTAATGAGAGGTATAATGACTGCCAGAATATTCTTCGTGTTAATTATATTTTGATTTAAACCATTTTCAGAGGCTTTGGAACAACAGGTGAGGAAAGAGATTGTCTATAGAGAAGAAATGGCAAAACAAATGCATTTAGTAAGAGGTAAGCATTGATTGATGGCATATGTAATGCAATGGTTTGTATTATCTGTCCTTTAGATACGTTTTGCCAACAGTTAGACCACAATTGGAGGTCTCGTCTATCGGTTCACAACAAAATTAGTGGTATTTTAAAATGACTACAAATAATTACTTTATGAATAACTAATTGATTGTTTGAAATTAAATTGAATTTAAGAACCGGAAGACAATCCGATGGGACTGTCGTTCAAAACAAAAAGCGATTCAGAATTAGGTCTCAAATCATTACATCATTAATAAGAATATGAAGTTTTAGCTATAATTTTGTGAATACATATTCACTTTAAATAAACAAATACTAAATATTAGTATAAATGAATTTTTTGTTTATAATTAAAAAATATGATAATAATAAGTAAATATAGAAATGAAATGTCAATTTACATAGCATTTACAATAATCATTAAATTATACGGATTTATCGATTATTCATTTACTGAATGTAATTTTATATAATATTAATATTAAAAAACTTATGCTTCAATTAAATAACTTTTAATATTTTTTCAATTCAATGTATGAAATTGAATGAATATTTGAGTTAACATTAATATTATTATTATTTTATTGATTTTAATATATAAATACATTAATGATTCCACATTTAATGGATAACATTTGTAAATTGTGTCAGATATTCAATAATTTATTATAGACTATATTATTGAATCAAAAATATAAATTTAAATTCATTTTATAGTGAATCCAATTTAATGTTCAAATTATAATTATTGTTAATAAAAGAATTAATAAATTCAATAAATTTTCTGTTGTTATGATTACATAATTAAAAACGATTTCAAAATGAATTATTTTTTAATTTAAAAAATATTTTTAAAATTGAAATGTTTCACCATGACCATTTACTAAAAGGTCTTTAATTAGAGCTCATTGTTTCTTACGTTTGATATTGTCTAATATTGTACACAATAATTATTATTCATAGTTAACTCCTCCACAGCACTCCTATTAAACGTTAACAATTAGTCTAATTATTAGATTATTTCACAATTATTTAGACAAAATGACAGCTAGTGTACAGCCAGAGGAATTATGTGTTGGCAATTTGGCGGCATCATTGCCAGTTATACGCCAGTTACTAAACAAGTGGTGAAACAATCATACAAATCCTCAAATTAGTTGTAATTGTAATACAATTATTGTTGTTATTAATCATAAGGAGTTTCAAATAGTAAATGTTGAGCACATAACAATCAATATTTGCAAAGCCAAACCATCAGTTCACCTCAATGCCGGACAATTGCACCATTTAAAGAGATTAAGGTAGTAATCATTGATTGCAATAATAGGATTGCCGTAAGAATAATCATATTCCACATCCAATACAGTAGTTTCAAAAGCCATATCTCAACAGTTTGTATGTTTTAAAAGTCGAGTTTTAATCCAAATATTTATTACATTGAATTTACAGCGAATGTAATATAAATATAATTTTTACAAAATTGTTTATAATTTATGTCATTTACAGATATGTTATATTTTGTCTGTTAATTAACAATCGGTTGAATAAATATTACAATATATTTATTAAGTATTCTTTAAAATATATTTTATACAAAAAAAAGAGATTAATAAGAAATCATTCAAAAAAAATAATAAAATGCAATCAAAAATCATTTAGTCTTGACATTCGCGGCGCTTTGTTTGGCGGAAGTGTTGTCATCGTCTGAATCGTCGGACGAGTCTTCAGAGTCGAGGATTTGATCCAATTGTGTACAGTTTGTGAGGAAAGTGTTGGGCGAGAAGAGCGCCCTATCGATCATCTCTTTGTTCACTTTCTCCTCCTTCTTGAACTTATTCCTCAAATCCATACGACTTCGCTTACCTCTGAAGAACAGATCCGCCATAAGTGTGAAGTCAGTGCCGATAGTGTTGAGTGCGCTGAAGAAGCGGATGGTCTCGTGTTCGGTCCATCGAGGCTTCGATGAGCCCCTATTCTTGGACCGAAACGACGAGTAGTTAGTGAAGGCCGAGACGGCGCCCGCCCTCTCAATCACAGGCGCCTCTTCTTTCGTATCGCTTTTCTTGCGCTTCACAATCACTGACTCCTCGTCCAGAATGAGGAGACCGTCGGCGCCCACTTTGACCCGCGGACCGCCACTCGTGTCACTCGCAGTCGTGTTTGTCGTCGACTCTTCGCGCTTGTCCTCAATTTTCTTGTCCTCAGTCTCGGTGTCGTTAGTGATCGCGGGTTTGTCCGTCAGATCCATGTCTTTGTCGCGCATTTCCTTCTGTTCGTCAGTCATCGGCGGATTGAAAAGAATCAAATCTTTCATTTTCATCGATGTTTTGTCGCCTTTCGCTGTATTCGCCTTTCGAGTCAGCCGTCGCTTACGACACAACTCTTTCTCTTTCACTGGTTTTGTCTCTTTTGGGACCAATTTTGTCATGTTTTCAGTGTCTTGTGGTTTGACATGAGTCGGACATTCTGTCGCTTCTTTCACCACTTCTTTGTCAGCGGTATTGTTGTTGATATCATCGCTGAACGCGGGTTTGTGTCCATCAATTGAATCACAACATTGACTCTCAGTCTTGGTTTCAATGGTATCGATGGTCTCCATGTCTTCGTCGTCGGCAACAGCCGTGATCTGAGTGGTCAGCCGTGGCTTCGGTGGCGTTGTCTCCATCGGTGTCTTCGTTTGGTGTCCAATGAGAGCCTCTTTGGGCGGACTGTCAGCCGGTGTTGTCTTCACTTCAGGCTCTGGCGGAGGTTTGTTGGCCATGGATCGGGTGGCCATCACTTTGGGCTTCACCTGAATCTTAGCTCTTCGCGCAGACATCATAACAGACTCTTCAATGGATTAATGGTTTAAAATTAATACTTAATTCAATTAATACTCAAATTATTGACAACTTTTAAATCAAACCACAAATCAGTTTCACTTCAAACCAAACATTACATCACATAATGGAGTAGAGGTCTGAGCGGTATATCTGATTCAATATTGCATTTAATTTGCAATCAATTCAATAGATTTGCAATTCTTTGCGGGAAATAATACTTTAAAGTAAATTGTGTTCAAAAATAATCGCAATTTATTATAAATTACTGACAATTTAATCAATGGTTAGATTGAATGGATGACCGGTTTATAAGTTGAGGGCAAATGACATGCAATACAGCATTCATTATACGGTATAATGCATTGAATGGACTCTATATGTGTGTATCGGCGGTGAGTCGTGTCCTCAATAGTTAACGAATTGGTCTATAATTGCGGTTATAATCAGATTTAATTCAATTCAATCGCGAAATGCCTGGCAATTGGTGTTAGAGGTGTTTGCGGTGTTGTGTCGCCCCCTATGGGTGTGTTTTGTATGTTTGAGTGAATGTATGGCTGTATTGAGTGAAGCGGTGTTGAGATGTGTTGAACACAAAGTAATGTAAAGCCAAAGCCATATATCGTGTGAATGGCGTTAATGTTTGCGACGTTTAAGACATTAACCACACGTTTGAACGACAAACACATCCAACCAATTGATCCCAATTAACACCGCAATCAATACAGACAACACCGACGACCACTTGAATACCACTGTCGCCCAAATCTATCCATTAGATCCGATCCGGTATTGGATTAGCGTTTGACGAGTTTTTTTTTCGCCACACATTTATATCAAGTATTAGTGGTTTTTGTATCTCTTCTTCTCCCACTTCTTCTTCTTCTGCTTCTCTGTCTCTCTAACACTCTTCTGGCGAAGACATGTCTCACGCGAACGCAGAACCGCTTCCGAGCGAACTCTTGAGGGACGGTATCGTCGAAGTCCGTGGAGATAACGGAGCCTTTTATAAGGCTTTCATAGTAGACGTCGACGACACGACTGCCGCCGATTTGGCCAATTGTCTGGACACGGATTCCGGCGCCGCTTCGGCCGCCACAGTCAGCCCTCCGGTCGACAACTCAAAGATTACGCTCGCCTTTGAAAACGATTGGTTACCGCAGCAGAAGTTCCCCATCAATAGGATCCGTTTGCCGCCGCCCTCGACGTCCGCCACGTTTCAATCGGCCAACAGTCCCACCAACGGATCCAACGCCGCCGACACCAGTATTTCAAACAACAGCAACGCCTCCGTTGTGTCCGATAGGCCGACCATTATTAGCGAAGGCATGGAAATAGAGGTGTTTTCGTGCACTAATGATGGCGAACAGTGCGGGTGGTGGAGGGCTCAGGTGAAGATGATTAAAGGTATGTTACCATCACATCCATTACAAGCGTTGCGGTGATTGACATGATATGACATTGTCTTTCAGGTGACTTCCATGTGGTTGAGTACCAGAACGTGAGCTCATCTGATGGCCAATCAGTGCAGAGCACACCCAACCATCAGACGTACAGTGAGATCGTTGCCAGTGATAGGATTCGGCCCAAAAATCCTCACCCCTTACTCACGACTAATCCGTTCTATAAGTTTGAAATCAAAATCCCTGAAGACATCCGGTCTATGAACACGTCGTGGCTGTTGAAGAGTGAGGCACACAAACAGTTCAAGCAATTCATCGGCGCTATTGTCGTCCGCTTTGATGAGCCCAACGGTGTCCTCATTTGCGTGGGTTATGCGCCGCACGAGAAGACATACTTAGCGTCGACCACTCAAAAGAGGGCTCAAATGTTGAGTGAAATGCATTTCCGAAACATCAAACAAAAACTGGTTCTTCTGTCGCGCACTGAAGAGGCGGCCAAACAGTTGGAGTCAACCCGAGGGCCGTTCGGCTCCGGCTTCACGGGAACACATTATGGCGGCTCTTCGGGTCAGAACTATTTGGTGGAAGTGGTTGTGGCCGAACACCTCATGGGTTTAGCCATCGGTGCCCACGGCGTCAACATTCAGAACGCCCGCAAATTAGAAGGCATTTCGGCCATTGATATCGAAGAGAATTCGTGTATATTTCGGATCAAAGGCCAGTCATTAGAGGCGTGCCATAAGGCGAGAGCGATGTTGGAGTTCGCCGAGAAGGGCATTGAAGTGCCGCGAACTCTGGTCGGCAAAGCGATCGGCAAAAACGGTCGCATCATTCAAGAGATCGTCGACAAGTCAGGAGTGGTTCGCGTGAAGATCGAGGGCGACAACGAGAATGAGGCGCCGCGAGAACACGTGCCCTTCGTCTTCGTGGGCACCTCTGAATCCATACAAAACGCCCAAATCCTTCTCGACTATCACTTAAACCATTTACAAGAAGTGGAAAAACTGAGACAAGAAAAGCTTGAGATCGTCCACCAGTTGAGGAATATTCAACAACACCCGACCCATACCTCGCCCTCCACTTCGATGATTATCCAAACACAACAACAACTGCTCCACAAAAACATCACTAATAGTTCGGTTCAGAATCACGACGAGTCCGACCAGAAGTACGGCTCAGACAGAGTAAGGACTGGATCTCAAAGAGGAATCGCGAGGACTGACAACACGAGAGGAGGCGTCGACTCGAGGACAATGTCAGGCCAGAGGAACGTTGGCCGCGGAGGTCCGATGTCTGGCTCTTCGAATGTACGCCGATATAACACAAACACGATTGACAGCAGACCCGGTGGTGATCGGGACAGAAGTGGGCGGCCATCGCATCCACGCAATCAACCGTTCAATAAATCGCGTCAACACTTCAAAGAGGGGACGCCTGTCGAGGACTCCGCTCCGAGATCTTCACATCGCGCCGATAGTCAACAAAATTCACAAAAAGGCGATTCTTATGGTAAACCACAGAGAAATCAACGGAACGATAGAAATGACAGAAATGATCACCGATTGGACCGAACGACGGATAGGACGGACAGAAACGACAAGAATCACGAGAAGAGTGAGAGAAGCGATAAGAATGAGCGAAACGATAGACAATATTCAACAGCGACTAATCGGTCGCAACAGTCGTCGGGTTCGGGAAACGCCCAGAAATTACCAACAAATGATCAAAACAACCCGTCTTTGAAGCAGTCGTCGCACTCGGAGTCAAAGCAAACGTTGAGTTCAGGCCAACAACTGGTGAACGGAAACGCATAAACAATTGATAGCTAAACGGGAATTACGACAACAAAGAAAACCCAAATCAACACTTAATTACTATTAACCTTTAGTTTTGTTTGTGTTTCTCATTATTTGCTTTACTTTTTTGAATTTGATTTGATTTCAGTTTATAATTCATTAATTGTTTATTACATCAAAAGATAGTTTTATTGAATGATAAGAAGTCCTTATTATTAACATATATTTGCAGGAAAAATGAATATTTCGATTGAAAATTAATCCCCAAATTATTAGTTGATATTTCGATTGAATCTTAAGATTAGATTTTTTGAACTCCCGATCAAACCTTAATTTTGTCTCAATTTGTTTTAAAACAAATATTAATCGAAAACAAAAGTAATTACTATTATATTGTCTGAATTGGAAAACTTAAACCATACCATAAAAATCACACAAAAAACTATATAAAAAGCGATTGAATTTTGCATTAAAACCAAAAACAATCGGAAAAAACTGAATTGATATGGATTTATATAATAAGCCAATAACTACTATAGTGTGCTATACTGTACGATGACATACAACATATAAACACACACATACCCAGACAGGCCGGTGCGCTCTGGCACTCACACCTCACAAGTAAATGTCGATTTCAATACCACAAAACGTCGCAAATATTTATTTCAATTTAAATGATGAGGTGATCAGAAGTGGTTAGTGTTGTTGAGTTGCGCTCGCCTTTCAACAAATGATTTGATACCGTATTTGAAACAATTTGTAATCGACATTAACGGCGTCTCAAAACTTTGTTTTCTTATATAAATATGATTTGCAAATCAGCAATAAATCGAAAATTATTTAAATGTATAAAAAACTTTGAAAAAATTCAATAAAAATAACAATTTGTAATCGACATTAACGGCGTCTCAAAACTTTGTTTTCTTATATAAATATGATTTGCAAATCAGCAATAAATCGAAAATTATTTAAATGTATAAAAAACTTTGAAAAAATTCAATAAAAAATGTAAAATTTTTGAATCGATTCGCTTCACAATTGTTTTATTTATTTATGTATCAAATTTTCATGAGTTTTCAGTATTTCAATGGCTATACATTGGATATTCAATGGCTATTTCAATGTATTTGTCGCTTAAATTATACAGATCTTTGTTTAACAATTAATTTCAATGTGTATTACAAATGGTTTTAATTAGTTTTAAGGCATTTTACAAAATGTCATTGTTTTCCTATCAAATAAGTTAATCTCTCATTGATTTTCATGTTATTTAAATTCATTTGATGGTTGAATATAACAAAAAGTTTTAATTTCTTAATAATTTTTTAAGATAAATAAAAACGATTGACTTAAAGAGATAAGGAATTGTTCATTTGTTTAGTAATAATGTTGACTATTCAATGGGCAACGAAACAATATTAAATTATAACTATGTATTGTAAATGAAATGTATAATAATTTCTATACTGGTATATAAAAAATGTTGGTAAATATAAGGATTGATTGATTTATGTGATATATAATGAAAGATAAAGGAGATATTGTGCCTTAAGTTATTAACAATATATAAAATAAATTCCAGTGTTTTATCAATTTATGAATACAAATGTTTAAATGTTAGGAAAATATATTGTGATTACAATATGATAACTAAAAATGGTTTCGCTTGAAAATAATTCGTTTAAAAAGTTCAGAAAATTTCAAGTTTCGCTATTCAATCAAAATATATTTTAAAATATATCAAAATATGTTATAAACTATTTATAAAATGTTTGTTTAGTTTATAGTTTAATACAAATAATACAAATTTGAATGAAATGTTATGTATATTATATGTTATGAAATAAGTCATCGAATAAGTTGTATATATGAAGAGTCGGGCAATTCTTTCTCTATTAGACGCAACTGTTGGCACATATCAGACATCGGAAGCCTGTTCTGAGGTCTCATTTGCCAACACGAGAGCATCAGTTTGTATATATTGTCGGGACAGGTGTCCGGTTTGGTCAACAATTGACCATCAGTTACCTGTTCTATCACTTCATGGTTGGACAGTTCATACCAGGGCTGCTTTCCAAACGTCATGATCTCCCACAACACAACTCCAAAGCTATAACAATCGCTTTCTATTGTAAACTTTCGGTATATTATGGACTCGGGAGCCATCCATCGGATCGGCAAAAGGGTTTGTCGGCCCACCTGTCCATCAAATACAATATATTGTACATAAATCACTGTTTTTACATTTAAAACAAATCAAAATTACTCTGTAATAATCGGTGGAATAGACATCTCTAGACATCCCAAAGTCGCCAATTTTGGTGGTGAGACCGGAACCGACCAAACAGTTTCTTGTGGCCAAATCCCGGTGAACGAAGTGCTGTTCCGCCAGATATTCCATTCCCGACGCGATTTGTATGGCGACGGATAGCAAATCATTTTGAGTTAAAGGACCAAAAAATTTATGACTCGCGTCGACTGAAGACGAGGTATTAATTGGTTTGAGGAGTTGACTGTCGGGCCCGTGATGTCGGAGAAAGTTATTGAGGTCTCCGTATTCCATGTACTCGAATAACATCATTAACGGCTCGCCGTCCAGTGATATGCCATAAAAGTTAACGATATTGTTGTGAACCAAATTCATCAACAATTCAGCCTCTCTTTCAAAGTCCTTTAACGACTCCTCAGAACTGCAATCTTTCAACGTTTTGATGGCCACTAAAGTTGTCGGTTCGTCGGGTGTCAGGAAGTGTACGGTTCCTAAAAATACTGCACAACAAAAATAATAGGTTTATGAAAAATATTGAATATCTACTCTAATAGTAGAGTACAATACATGTACAATACATGTACTTATTAAATGATTAATGAATTGTAGACAAACCTCTGCCAAAAGCTCCCTCGCCCAACATCTGGATGAACGTAATCTTATCCTTTTCAATGAGTTTAATACCTTTAAAAATATGATACATTTGGTTGAAATATTGTATAATAAAGCGTGAATTATAATAAGTATATTCTTGCCTGAAATGTTTGAGATAAGTAATCTCTCATTTTCTGCCAAATAGTTTGGATTCTCGACAAGTTTTGCCATATTTAGAGGTATTCTTTCCCTAACAGTTAAGTTATCCCCTCTTTTGTTGGGAACCGATTCGTCATTGATTTCAAAACACATATTAAGTAAAATTGTCGGACAAATAGACATACAAAACGAATTGCACGGACGGGATCTGCTTTGAGATGAACTAGATTTCCATTTCTTGCAACTAAATAGTAGTATTATTACAGTTAATGTAATCATTAATACAAACGCCACTATTGTCGAGACCACAACAATAGGCACCTAAAAACAGATGATTATAAATTTAGTCAACGGTTTACAAAATTCAGATCTTATATAAAAAATATAATTTACTAAATCTAGAAATACAAATAAAAATATCAAGCATTTGATTTTAAAAAATATTCTTTAGTGTTAAATATACTTTTAGTAATAATAATATTAAACATTATTTACATAGAATAATATAATTCTTTTTAATAATAATAAAAATTATGTAAAGATGTTATTTATGTTATTGATATAAATTGTACATGTGGATTTTGTAATGATTATTTATCCCATTTAAGTTAATGTGATTGAATTCGTTAAATTCATTATCTGAACTATTAATATATTCTAACTTTAAAATTAATTAAATTAAATTACATATTTATCTATTGTTATAATATTTTTCATTTTAAAGAATATTTTCCAAATACCTATTCTATAAATAAATTGCATAGAAACTGTTAAAATGACTATCAACATTTTATACAAACAATGTATGTTTTGTATTATGGTGCAAATATTGGTTTATTTAGAAAATTTAAAATTTAAAAATAGTAGTACAGCGCTATCACATAATATAAAGTATTTTACAGTACTTTACAGTATTTATTTATAGTTATGCTAATTATTGTAAAACAACAATATAGTAATTTAAATAATCTAGATAAATCATTATTGTATAACACATTCTAATATTGCTCTGATTTGCGTGTATATTAAATCCTGTGACAAAATAAAGTAATATTGTTTTACTTTAAAAAAGTTTATAAATGGTAAGAAAGATAACTATTTGTTTAAAACAATAGTTTACACAATAATGA